TAAGCAAATATATGGGTAATATATACTGAAGATGGTTTATTAGGACCGAAGGTCCGACGTTGACATTATATTAACATTAAAACACCATAATTGCATATAAGATTTTTGTTTGTTTTTTCCGTATTTTTTTTCTTATATATATATATATATATATATATATATATATATATATATATATATATATATATATATATCCTATATATATATATATCGAATTTTCGTCGGTCGAAATAACATTTCGCAATGAGATGATTGTATTTTTTACTTGAATTGACAAGGGATGTCTAGATAGCAATAATTTAAAAAAAATCCAGACGACATCCATTCAACGGATGTCAGTTTTCATTGAAAAATACATCCCTACCCCCTTACCAAATTGTAGCTAACAACTGATACAATGATACTGACATAAGGAAAATCTAGACATCCCTTGTCTAATTAATGTATAATATTCTGTAACCATGGAAACATGATTTTAGCTGTGTCTTTAAATCCCGGTAATTTTAAAATTTCCTCAAAAATTCGCTTGAAGATGAAAATGGAACTAATGCTTTTAATTTAATTGCAAAATTAAATTCGGGGCTTTTAGCTTCTAGTTTTGAAACATGGTTAGAACTGTGTAGCAAAAAAATATATTTTAAATCAATTAATATATATATATATATATATATATATATATATATATGGTCGATTTGTATTACAACACGAAATACTAGCATTAGAACGTGCTCAATACACGTATAAATAATTGAAATTTAACATTTAGAGCTTTAAATATAAAACACAGTAATTCTTCAGCCTTACGCTATCTTCATCTGATACCGATCGATTGATATCCTAACGATTTTTTTTAAAAAAAAATTAATTAAATTAATGGAGGCTGTATTATTTTAAAATAAATAAATAAGGGCTCTTCGTCAGATGACGTAGAACGGGACGAGAAGAAAAGCAAGTGTAGTGAAAATGTATTGCTAGGGTTTAAATGAAATATACATTTTTTCTTTTTCATCCTGGCCCATATGAACTCAAAAGGAATTGATGAGTGTCTATGTTACGTGTCATAATTTCCGAGCATTTATTCAAAGGTGTTTTTTGTTTGGAAATGTTATTATAGCTAACATTGATGACAAAGTTTTCAGATATTGCTATAATTGTTGCAAGTTTTGCATTTAAAAAAAATCCAGTTTACAAACATATCTTTTTTTTTTTTTTAATTATTTTTTCCTTTAATTTCTACACATGTTTGACTAGTCTATTAGAATGCCTAGTGACATTATAATTTAAAAGATGACTTCTAATTATAGCCCTCTTCTTAAACTTGCCTTTCGGTACAGCCTACATGTTTAATTTTCTGTCCATTTATATCTATTTCTTATGCTTTTGAATATTTTGGATATATATATATATATATATATATATATATATATATATATATATATATATATAGGATTAATAAAAATATAAAATCGTCACTTAACTGATGCTATTTTTAACACTGTAGACAGACCCTCCAGCAATCACTCCCTCCACTCTTCAGGAGATAACAAAAAATATATACATATATTAGCTTATTCGACCATATAGATATTTTCAATTTTCTAGGAGGTCACCACGCCTTTTATGTGATACTCCAAAAAGTAATTTGGTAAAAAGACATTAACAACAAATATCTCATAATTTCCCTGAATCATTCAAATAATGTGTCTCGAGCAATCCTGAAGTCTTTCTAGAATTATATGCAGACGTTTTGTTTCTAGTTAATTCAATAGAATGTGCAAGCCCCCCTCAAGGTAGAGTGTTAATGCATGATATCTTTGTAAGGGAGGGTTAAAGAGGAAAGTTAATTGTCAGGAGAAGCGTTCACCCGTTTTTTCTTCCACAGATGAACGTTTCTGGAAAAGAACCTGAGTAGGACTTCCTTTAGCAAAAGAACACGAAGGAAATACGCATGGTTTGCCAAGTGAAGAAAATGTCTGTTGGGTACGAGATCTGAAGGTCTGAACTTGCCATAGTAAAAGCGATAGACTCGCAAAGGACAACGGTTGTACGTTGGAAAGTAATGCACATTCAAACAAGTCAGCATAATGGTTTTTTATAACGCTATCATGGTTAAACCAGAGCACTAGCCCAGACATGACAGCAATAATCCATGCATGATCCGATCTTCTTCACGGCCAGCTTCGACAAAAAACAGATGCCTTTTTCCAAAACGACCCTATGGTTTGGTCTTTTTGTTTTGTAACTTTGTGGTCCAAATGAACATTTTGCGACACAGTCAATGTTTATCTATTTAGAATTCTGTTTCTGAGGTTATTTGGCCAACCTGGAATTTCCACCCGCCCAGTAAATCAAAATCAGATTAATTCCAGTATCTTCTTTTTTGCCTTCGACAATGGGAAATAAAAAATTACCACTTCTCCTTGTCATAAAAAATAACACCGCTTAGTGTCCTTTTCGTGATGGCTTTTATCACCTAATTTTAATTTCTCGCCTTTCTTTTTTTCTTTCCTTTTTCTTTTTCTCTTTTAGTAAGCCAAATAGTGTCACAGATATTTTGAACTGATACAAGGAAATTACCAGTCTTCCAATACGTTATCGATTGCAAAAATAACGAGTTGTATTTGGGGTCTAGAGTTAGTGTAAGTTCATATATTTTCTAGGTAAATAGTCTCATTGAAGGTTTGACCGCGCATCAAGATTGTATGAAATTTAGAATGTGTTTAAAGGATGAAACGTTATTAACTTCCATTTACAGGTACATAATGGTGAGAGGTTAGATCCGTGGAAAGATAAGCTGATCAACACTGAAGATATTTGGAAGTGAACTTCATGCACCGGGGTATCAACTGCATATGTCTGTAGTAGTAAAGATCAGGGAACTATTACCCCACAATTTAAACCTGGACAACTTTTCAAACAAAACAGACACTGAAGTGAAATATATATGATTCGCCAATCAATACTTGCACCATTAACTGAATATTTAAAGCCGAAAGAAAGTCCTAAATTGCAAGCATACCCAAAAGATCCTGTTCAGTATTTCACCGATTCCTAAATCACCCCACGTTGTTTCGATTCTCGTTAGAATCGACCTAACGGTTGTATAATATGATTACACTGTTTTTCAAATAATCCTTTCCCAAACCAACATACATGATTATAAAAAAATTAAAAGAAAACGTAAATTCAAATCTTCTATTATTTAAAATATAAGGTTTATATCGACATCAAGTTGAAACACCGCTTTTCATACAATCACCGAAGTTAAGGTGTCGAGACGGGTCTAAACTAGATGGTGGTGGGGGGCACCAGGCAATACCAGGTTTTATAAACTTGCACGTGTTGGTAGTGTAAGAAAAATATGGCCCGGAATCGTAAATCGGAGATATGCGCAAATAATATTGGGAAAAAGTTATGAATCCATCTCTTCTCCACACTAGCTGTAAAAGCATTAGTAGGATTTGTACTAATAAATCTTTTATTAACTCTAGAAAATTCACTATCTAAAAATATTTTTTTTTTTTAAATAACTTACAGGATGTTTTTCAACCGTAAAAGGAAAAGGCATAAAAAAATGCCCGCAAGGACATACAAAGGTGAAATCCGAGCTAGAATGAGAAAAGAAAAAAAAACAAGAATCCTATATCCAATATATTACATTATTAATCCGGATTTATTTCCACGCACTGAGGAATGTTACGGTAAGGGGTAGGTAGGGAACATTTCTACTACCAATGCAACGAGCGATTTACAGACGACAAATTTCTTTTCGGCTGTGGGCGAAATTCAAAATCATCCCCTGCCCATAAGCTTACCCCACGGCGATGACATTCTTTAAAGTTGACGGATCTCTCTCTCTGCTGAATGATTGCATCCCAAAATCGGGCCGAAACGGATCTACCTTTTTACTTGTAACTGTTACTGTATCTGCATGACTGCGAACGGGAACTTTAAAAACATCCGGCTAAATGGCACTTGTCCTCGTAAGTTTTTGAGTATTTATCTATTTATTTCATTCCTTTGTTCAGTGGTTGGCCGATAATGAAGAACTTATTTTAAGATTTTACAGCTAGTCGTAAAATTACTAGACACTGCCAGAGATGAAATCATTTACTTTTCAATTGTTTATGGCTCTCAGAAGAATATTCTGAAACATAATAAATAAATATTACTGAGAAAAATGTAACACATACAGGCAATGGATGGAGGAAATATTGTGTGTTTATCTAAAGTTTTTTAATGAATGAATGAAAAGAAAGAGTAATATCTAAGAAACAAAAAGGTGGATGCTGTGAAGAGACGCGATCATCCACCTCTGACAGATATTAGTCCAAATAGCACTCATTTTATTTACAGAATAGAAAAAGAGATGAAGGTTTCACACTGTGGAATTACATTTGACGGGTGTTTACCTATCCTTAGGCGTATATCGATCTGAATTATATTTTCGTCCTTTTTTTCTAAATCTAGTTTTATTGTCATATCAATATTCCTGTTCCAAGATTGAATCGGTATTTGAAAAAAATATGACAGAAATATAAATATTTTATGCCTCCATTGTGTTCCATTATTTCATGTAAGACTCCCGAGCTATCTTGTGCAATTAAATATGATGAAATATACACGTACGCGCCTGCGTGCACAGACACACAGATACATATATATATATATATATATATATATATATATATATATAAATATATATATATATATATCGAAAAGGTTTCAGCGCTCATGAAAATATATATACACACGCACGCACACACACACACACACAGACACAGACACACACACACACACACACACATATATATATATATATATATATATATATATATATATATATATATATATATATATATATATATATATATACATATATATATATATATATATATATATATATATATTTGCTACATATACTATTAATTTCTTCTATAGGACAATTGAGCCTGGATTTGATGCATTGTTTTCTTGTTTAGTGCCAAAGCACTGCAGATTTAAGATTGGTTTACTTTCTTTTTATATATAGAGATAGATAGATAGATAGATAGATAGATAGATAGATAGATGTTCAATAAATTAATTGAAGTTCCTGTTACTTATCGGAACTATACTTAATTTGGATAAATGATAAAGATTTTATTATCTATTAAACGTTGCTTAATATATATATTTATAAACGATTTTTGTGGATACATTTGAAACAATTACATCCAAGTTTTTACTTTTCATTTCCTTTGAACAATAAAATCAGTACTTGCAAAGAGCCCTATTTGTAGAAATATAAAAACAATTTGAATAGGTATATGTTAGAAATTGCGTAAAGATACGAGAAAATAAATTAAATTTCGTCATTTTCCCTCTATTTTCTCGTTTCAGTTACATATACATGCAGAGTACATACATACATATATATATATATATATGTATGTATGTGCTTGTGTGTGATATAACGATATATATGTTTGTCTCATTCTATATCCAAAAAAGTATTAATTTGTGCTATATATATATATATATATATATATATATATATATATATATATATATATATATATATATTATAGTATAATATATATTTTCATCTGGTATTTTAATTACTTAAAAGGTTATCGTCGTGGGATTCGACACTTTCGCTTTAAATTAAAGAATGTATTACAGAGGACCTTCGTATTCGTGAGGCAGTAAAAAAACCTTCCCCCAGCAGGAATCGAACTTACGATCCCTTTAGAAGAAACCACTTGTTTGATCCAGTGTGCCTTACAAATTGGGCAACCTCACGGCAAAATATTTTCCTCTTAGCTGACGGATCAGATTTATTTTGTTTGCAAAAAATAGACAATAATCCAGCCCAACGAATTGAATTAAGTCCTTAAATTAATTAACGCACCTCAGTACATAAATGATTTGTGTATATGCCTGCGCCTGCGCACGAGAGAGAGAGAGAGAGAGAGAGAGAGAGAGAGAGAGGAGAGATATAGAGAGAGGGAGAGATATATAGAGAGAGAGAGAGAGAGAGTTGTTTTTTATTCATTCGGTCTGGAGCGATGTCATATGTAATCATTATTTTTCCGCATGAATTTGTTATTTTTACGTTGCAGCAAAATTAGCAGCTATTAATCAACTTTGAAAAATATGTACACCAACAAAAACAGAATCACACTAAAACAAAAATCTCCTCTCCCCACAGGCAATACACATAATATCTGATGATAGAGAAAATCTCAAAGGAATGAAAAACATGGTGGCATTAAAAGAAAATACCCAGAAGAATATCAAAATAATCAGAGCTTATAAAAACTCATCCATATATTTAAATTCCTATTTATATGTCTTCCTAAAAAATCTAACTCTATGAAGATGTACCCCACATTTCTAGGTCGTACAAAGTCATGAAGGTATCGGTGCTTTTTGAGATCCAGTGTACACTGAAAATACAATTAATTTCTTTCTAGCGGCCGACATTGAATATTAGTGTATGTAATTTAAATTATGTCTCTTTTCTCGGACCTTGGTCACGCAATGTTTTATATTTCAAAATCAATTTATTCAGTAACCTCGCAGTTCGTTTATGTAATGGATTCTAATTCGTTTTAGAGGAAGAATTTCGGATCTATCATTTTTGGACGGATGAATCTATTACTTTTCCAAGGTCATAGTTTAACTCTGCTGAACTAGTGAAGATAAGATTTGGAACCCATGTTTTTTAAAATGTGTTATGGATCTAAGCTGAGCTTTTTTATTTTATTTTTCTTTTTTTTTTTTTTTTTTTTAATTTGAGTTATGTATCTTCAATATATGCTTTGGATTTAATATATTTTATCACAATATGATTTCTTCTTTTTTCATTACAAGTTGATAATTTAATTCAAAATCAAGCGTTACAACTCTTTTTTCCAGTTCAGTTCCATTTTTGTGCTATATGAGAAAATTCTAAGACCCCCCCACACCCGTAGACGAGAACATAATCTAGACTGTGTGTACGCTATCCTGTGGAGCCGCTGAGAAATATAAAAGGGAGACAGGCCGCCCTTAAGGTAAGGTCAAGAACACCAGAAAGCTGTAACACGAGGGGATTGAAAAATCAGGCGTGGCTGACCACATATGGAGAGAGAAGGGTGATCACCAACCTCTGTGGGATAAGGTTGAGATCATAGACAAAGCACACCATTGGAAAATTCGTAACTTAAGGAATCAGCACATATGCTAGACCAAATATCTCCTGAGCCGACCAAGTATGAAAATGAATGCAATATCGGAACTAGTAATAAGGAGGCCAGAGAAAAACGATAATAAATAACAAAAATTGCAATATGAGCTCTGAAAATCATGCAATGATAACAGCAAAAATTTCAATATGAGCACTGGTAAAAAACGGGTTGCTGAATACATTAGGGTTTATAATGCCCAGAAATTACACAGATGTCCTCAAGACACATGGCACAATGTATAATGGCGTTAGTTAGATCCAGTGACAGAAACCCAAAGTCTATGAGTTCAATATCCGGTTAAGGCAGTGGAAAAATTATAGAGGTGAATTATGAGGAGATAACTGATAACTGACATCTATTGAAAATGACACGTGGAACTAGAACAGTCTACCCCAGTGAGCGAAATAAAGGGTTCAGTTCGACATTCCAACTAATGCAAAGAAGGCCGGAGCGCACAATGGCCTAAACGTTGTAATAAATATGGCTACAAAGATGAGGTAGTCCGAATAATGTAGACAATGTGCATAATAATCATCTCAGAAATATAAAAGATACAGAGAAAAATTCCTAAACAAATTTTTTTGAGGATTATCGATCGGCAATGGTGACATCGAATTCAAAGATGAATAGAAACAGAACGAGAAATAATAATATCTGCGAGAATGAGACCAAAATATTTTTTTCAAATTTTCAAGTATTTTACAATGTTGTTGTAAATGGAATATAGTTTATTATAGTTATTACGGGGAAACGTTGTATAATTTGCTGAAATTAAAAGGCATTTCTTTTAATTCTCGAATATTGCCAGTATTTTGGCTGTGCCCGCAGTTGCTGTTCTTAAGGGTTGCGTCTGAAATTGTATGACCAGAGATGTTGAGAACGCAAATATGATAGGCAATACCAAATTAGTTCAAGATAATTGAATGTCTGGTAATGAATTTATTTTAGAAATTTGAAACGGCTGGCAGCCTAACAGAAAATTACTATGATTGAAAATTATTTTGGAGTATTTTGACAGACATTGCGTCCAAATTATACCATTAATTCCCATAAAAGAAAAACTGGAAAAGGAATTACCAATTATCTTGCCCAATTCTATATATATATATATATATATATATATATATATATATATATATATATATATTATGAAATGGACAATGTCCGACAATTATTTAAAGGCAATTTTATGTTTAACATTCTTTTTATAGACACAAGTATTTAATTAAATGCTCTTAAATAGACAGTATTAAATAACATTTAACAGCCTGAATGTCTGAGAAAATTTACAAGCAAAATATCTGACTGGGATGTATTCGAACCTAATTATATATGAAATCACATATATATATATATATATATATATATATATATATATATATATATATATATATATATATATTTAAAAATGCTGCATTTAAAAGTAATGATAATAACGCACAACTTTTACTAAGGTAAAAAATAACAGTTTTTTAATGCTTGCCATCATGATTATTTTTTGATCTCAAGTTTTCTATCGAAAGAAAAATGGGAAGAGAAATAATTTAAACAGTTATAGGAGTTTCCCAATTCTTTAATCCATCAATACCAAAAAAAGGTTATTTTTTTTGAAAGGATTTTTCATTTCTTCAAAATTAAAAATTATTTTTGTAATTTTATTCAATCAGACATGTTTAAATCGGTAAATAAATTGTGCCTAAAAACACAAAATTTAATCCAAAAACCTTCAGTTGAATGCTCTGTACACAAACAAAAAAAACACACAACATATATATTAAATTATATATATATATAAATAGATATATATATATATAAAAACATAATAAATATATACATATATGCGTGATATTTTATAATTGTGATTTTCGTATCCTCCATTTATATATATATAACTATATATAAATAGATGAATCATAGATAAATATGAACAGGTTAGATAGATGATAGATAGATGTACTGTTTGATAGATAATTAAAGATAGATAGATAGATATGAACAAATGAATGATGAATGGATGAATGAATAGATAGATGGATGAATTCTTGGACAAATAGATGAATGATAGATAAATGAATGAATGAATGAATAGATAGATGAATGAATGAATAGATAGATATGTTAATATTCTGTGACATAAATCTCTATCTAGATAAATTGATATTCGTATGATTATCTATCTGAAATTGATAGATTCTGAATTGGACAGTTTTTATCATTTGCCGGAAATAGATTAAATCCACATGGATATGAACTGCAACCATAGAAAAATAGATAGATAGATCCACCACGAGGATAGACCATATACCATTTCTCTAGAATGGATTTATATTTATATATATATATATATATATATATATTGATATGCCAACTATAGGAACAGAATCAGGATTTTTTGACTGGATGAAATAGACAGAAAAAGATAGGTGTATAGTTGATGCAAACGCTTGTTTTATAAAAAAAATATCGTTCCATTACAACGGATAATTTTTAAAAATCTAAAATAGCAATAACAGAGCGCGTTCACCGTGTTTTTAAAAATCACTATGGCAAGGGAATTCAGATTTTATAGGCAGTTATGTTTGTCTTTCTAAATTACTCCTGAAGATGATCTTTGAAAATGTCGAAAGTACATAATTTAAAAATACTACGGTGCTTGCCTTGATTTATTCCACCTTAACATCAAGAAACTGAAAAAAACAACTGGAAAGGATCAGCATAAAATTGGTAGATAATAGGATTATATTATTCAATAATTTATATATATTATTATATGTTATTGTCATATGTTATATATATATATATATATATATATATATATATATATATATATATATATACAGATATACAAGTCACTAAAAAAAATGTGTGTTAAAGCTTTTCTTTAGATTTTTCATCATTCCACCTTCCAATAAATCTATCGTTTCTCTTATTTAAAGTCTTTTCAGCATGCGTTTATATATCACTTGATAATGTTCCATTTTCTTTACAGACCCCCCCCGCACTCCCACCTGTCCTTATTTCTTTGCATTCTCCTATTCGCAAAAAATACTTTCTCCTACATTCCACCACCATCCGTTCATATATTTTTTTACATTTTTTTAAACTTCAAATTTGCCTATAAAACAGTCACCGTTTTAATCCCAGGTGAATTCATTGTAAACGCTATTTTTCAACTTAGAAAATAACGTAAATATTGGTATATAACTTCTCCTTCGACTTATAACTTCCACATTTATTTATCTCTGAAATAAACAAACTTTTTCTTCCATTAAAAGAAAAATGTAAAAAAAAAACCTACTTCTTAAGCTACAATTCCTCTTTACCAATAAATCATGGAGAAATCCACATGGAACAATTTGACTTTCGAGATATACTTAAAGAAATAATGGTGAAAGGGTATAAATTTTGCGCGAATTGTAGGTGTTCTATTCGAAAGTATCTATCCATGTTGCACGTTTCGAACTGATTTGAGGCACACATTCAAAACTCACTTTTCCATTGCCGCTAATTCCTACAAGATACATGTTTAAATCTGATATTTCAGATTTTTTTAAATTTAAGACTATCGTTAAAAGGAAGGCAATTTCAGAGAGGCGAGTAAACTCAAAGCAGCTGATGGTGATCTTTCATCTATTTGAAAACTAAGTTTTTCATATCTAGTTATTCTTTCAAAATAGTTAACAATACCGAGCTTCTGACTAAGCTACTCGATAATTTCAAAATAATAACCTGATCGTTTAGAATTAAATAATTTACGGTAAGTTAAAGCGAGAAAATATCACAATATATACATTAGCTGAGAGAACAATTAATATCTGTTTTAATATTTTCCGTTTCAGTCTAATAAATTACGTCATCTAAATAGAAAAATTTCAAAAAAAAGGTTGCTTCGACATAAGGTTTATAGTCGCAATGAAGGCAAAAAAATGTTCCGCATTGGGGGAAAGGTACAATTTAAATGTATTCTTTTTTTCTTGGACGTCTCTACACATAATCAAATTTAAATGTTTTCTATGTCATTAGATTAAATGTTTTCTTCCTTTATTGGTATTACAACGTTTCAGCAGTTTCTTTGGCCTTCATCAGGGGGTTGGAATGTCGAACTGAAAACTTTATTTTTCCCCAGGGGTAGACTGTTTTGTTCCACGTGTCATGTACTCAAGGACAAAACACGGTGGATGAAATATGTTGGTTAAAGTCAGTGACAGGACGCAAAAAGTGTGAGTTCATTACACAAAAGGTAATGGAGAACTTTCAGATGGAATTTAACGGAGATAACTGATATCCATTAAACATGGAAACATTGCATCCTCCGAGATTGCATCAGATCTTTTATCACGCGCAGACACTATTGTCTCGCTTGTCGATTACGTTGTCTTAGGACCAGTGTTTTTGATGGACCTTTCTCAATAGAAGCTTACGAAAATTTTTCGGCTGTAGGAGCACCTTTGGCAAGCCTTATCAATGAGCAAATCTAAATACTATAGATTGACCCGAAAATTCTCCTGATTTAAATGTAATCGAGTATCTAGGAACAATCTGCAAGAACGAAATTCGTGGAATGGACATACAAAGTACTAACTAGTGCAAAGTGTCATGTTTCAGTGGAAAAAATACGAAAAATGAATAATAACGGTATTATTCGTTTTTTTCAATCAAATTGTTCAGGATGTACACACACACACACACACACACACATATATATATATATATATATATATATATATATATATATATATATATATGCAACTTAGTTTCAGTGCATTTCAACTGCACGGAAACTAAGTTGCATCTTTAACGGCCTAGGAGAAAATGGTTTTGTCTATATGATAAAATTATAATAAATAAATAATCATCGCTCTATTATCGGCATCGAGCCCTCTTTTTGATTAATGGTGTGAACGTTGAATTTATATATTACTTTCGTTGTCATATATATATATATATATATATATATATATATATATTCAAGTATAGGTTTCTGTATATTAATAAATTTTACATTCAACACTATCACTTTTATGAAAAACAAATGGTCATTTTTGTAGTTTTATAATTTGGAACTAATTAATATGATAAAAATAATTTTGAATGAATGAATATATATATATATATATATATATATATATATATATATATATATGTGTGTGTGTGTGTGTGTGTGTGTGTGTGTGTGTGTGTGTGTGTGTGTGTGTGTACATAGATCTTGTATAATTGTTTCAAAGCCAGGAATAACAGGAAGTTGCGGAGTGTCATAGCCAACCATGTTTTTGAAGGCACACGGCACATCAAATTACTGCAATATGTACCGTGTAAATATCTAATGTACGTGTTTATTCCAAATTTTGACGTGCTACGCCAATTCCGAGACCGGATTCAAAATGAGTATCAGCAATTTAGCACGTAAGACAGTGTTTTTTGCCGTAATAGATGTGTTATCTATGTGTGAATTTATTATTATTTTTTTGCAAATAATCATACCTCTCTGCATATAATCATAGAAGCCAGACCCGCAATATCCCTGCGTATGTCGAACCAGAGCTAATTTTGCGCCTGTCAAAAATCGAATCATATATCACAATAAATTCACTCGTGAATATTCTTTATGGTATTCGCGAGCTTGACCATAGACAAGCTGCCCCTTTATTTCGTTTTCGCTTACTTTTGCAAATTTCGAGATATCCAGATCTCCGTATATCATACTGAAGACGCAGAACCCAGGTTTATAAATCTAATGGCAGCCACTAATATGCTGTTTTGATTTTGTGGTTACTTTTGTTGGTTCTTGCGATGTGAATCTGTTGTGACTTATACAGAATCTGGGACCAATATAAGCAGAAAATCAAAACAAAAGATGAAAAAAAATTGTTTGTATTTTCAAATAAACATTCTCTCGGATTTATAATGAAAGTGGTTTCCAAATGCCCTTCTAAGATAAATTTTATTGAGACACCATTTCCACTTAGCTGCACGGTGTCTCATCAAGACTAATTTCTGACATTTGATAGGTTCCGTACAGTAATACAATGATGCTAGCAATACGTCTCACACGTAAATAATATAAGTGGATGTGCCTATAGGGTCCCCGACCACCCAATACATTTCTTAGATAGATGTGTATGCATTCTCCGCACGCGCAAAACGTAGGCGCGCACATAAATCACACTTTCACAGCCACACACACGGGCACACACCTGCATATATATATATATATATATATATATATATATATATATATATATATATATAGACATCCAAGAATATTCATATTTCTCATTTAAACCAAATGACTCTTCTTTAAAAACTTCTCTCTATTAAATTTTAATCGCCCCTTCATCTTTAGACTTTCCTGTTCTTCTCTCGTCTGTTACCCCTCCCTATAGCATTCATTTACTCTAATATTCGTCTCCACACTCTCATACATACACTCTCACTAAATTGTATTTTTTATTTCGGAGTTGTTTTTTTCTGTTTTCTTTTTGAATTTTAGGTCTGGTGAATTGATCTTATTTACGATTCCAATGGAATAAATTATGACCATGGAATATTAGTGTTTAAGTCTTTTTATTATCCTTACTCTATCCTGGACATTGAGATCTACCTGGATTCTATCCTCTTGAATTTTTATATATATATATATATATATATACACACACACATATATATATATATATATATATATATATATATATATATATATATATATATGTATGTGTATGTATGAGTGTATATATATATATACATATATATATATATATTTATATATTTTAGATATATGATTGCATATGTATGTATATTAACCACTAATATTATCAATCTATATATATATATATATATATATATATATATATATATATATATATATATATATAAAATGTAAAGTTTGCTTTTGCTTTTAAATGCAACGGTTGGCTGTCATGCTTAGCGTTTATTAGAAAAAATAACCAATATGTCAACCATTCGCCTTTGCATGGAGTATTGCTGCCATATAACAGGTCTGGATCCCCTTCTGTTTGTTTTGGGGTTCTTGATCAGATCCAGAGACGGATATACAATGTAACTGGCCCTTATCAGCATCTCGTCTGCAGTCGCCTTCTCACAGACGTGCCGTCGCCTGTCTCTGTCTTTTTTTACAAATATT